ATTTTCAACACCACAGCATGGTTGCTCACAGCTGCCTCTACCTCCAGTTGCAGGATGCCTGGTGCCATTTTCTATCCTCCTCAGGCACTACAGGTATTTGAACATATGTGTTTTAGAGGAATATCAAGAGTAGACACCCAAAGGAAGGAAAGTAGACACTCAGGCATGTGTCTTCATACCTCATTCACAGTGGCTAGGTGGGTCCACCAAAGGGTGAGAGGATACGATGGGGCTGTCCAAGCAAGGGTGGTAACTAAGCTTAAGAAGTAAGGCAAAATTGACACATGATAATGTATGTGCTGGATTGGGGCCAACTTTTAATGGGAAGATGGGAATGTTTTGAAAATTTGTATTATTTTAGATGGGAGCTCATGTAGCCCTGCATGGCCTTGGAATTCCTGATCCTCCTGTCTCTATCTTCTGAGTGCTAGGTGTACATACCACACCTGTATGGGAGGTTCTGGACCCAGCTGGTAGGGGCATCTTTGGGGCACTGTAATTGAGCTGTACATCACTTTGCTACACTCACAATGACTCCCATGGGAAGAATCTTCCCTGAATGCTAACAAAGAGTAATAATCTATGGGATGGAAATTTGCCTTCTCTCTCCCAAAAATGTGGCTGAATAACTTCAACAGTAGAAAGGTTAATGTTCGATATTGAGCTTAAAATGTCTGCAGAATGGGAGACAAGTTTGCAAGATATGTAAAGATCCAGAATACAAAACTAGAATGAGAATGATAGGGCCAGATGTGGTGGCACATGCCTTTAAACCAGCACTCAGAAGGCAGAGACATGCAGATCTCTGTGCATTTGAGGCCATCTTGGTTTACACAGTGAGTTCCAGACCAGCCAGGGATACACAACTGTGCCTACACTGTTAATTACATGTGCTTTTTCTATGTCTTTATGTCTGAGCCAAGATGTAATTTCAATTACAAAGTAAAAATATGTATGTTGGGATTTGGATGTAGCTCACACTGGAGTGCTTACCTACCACTTCTGAGTCCAACCCTCTGTTGTACAACAGTTTCCTCTGAGACTGAAATATTCCATCCCGCAGGGAAGCTCCTAAAGCAGGAAGGTAAACAACTCAAATGTATCCAGAAAGGCCCCCAAACTGACCAGATTCACTAGGCTCTTTCCTGCCAGAGTAAACAATAAAAGCCGAGAGTGCCTGTGAGGGGCAAAACCAA